GCTAAGGCTGATGTAACCGTTGGTGAACTTCGTAATATTCAGTCCGAAGAAGAAGTAAGAAGTGCCCATTGTGGTCAGAGTGATTGTATCTGCATATTGTTCACCCAATTCTTGGACATCCCAACTCAATTGAATAAAGTCTGGATCCACACGAGTCCAAGCGAAATATTGCGGCAGTGGGCACCATCCACTGCTTGGGTCATTTGACACTAGTTCCTCATGAACTGCACGAAAGAATCCATGTCCCTCACCATGATGATAAGTAGGATCCTCGCACTGTTTCATGCCTTTAACAATCATGCATGCAATCCAGTGGTCAGAGGTCAGCAACGAACGTTGCAAGCCCCATTGCATATGAACTGATCCCTAACACAGGGATGAAGTCATACGCAAGGCCTACAAGAATGAGCTACCAAACATCCGGACACAATCTCTTCTTATTTCTCATACCGCTGCAAACATCGCAGCACGGTATCAACGAGGCGTTTCGCGGCCTGATGTACCCATGATATTCGTTTGCAGTCTTACTGTCTGAATTTAAATGCTGATTAGTAAGTTGCTTTGCAGTTGTTTGAGGCAGTAACGAGTGAAACGGAGAATGGTAAAGGCGCATGTGCTCAAAAATGTTTAGCTAGGCGGCCGTCCATCGATTTGCAGGTGGCTCGTATTCCAATAGGACATGGGAAGTGCAATTGTAAATATTAGGCTGAGGCAATGACGTCACTTACTGATTTCCATTCACTGCTACTGATTGGGAATAGAGATGCAAGAACGTGATTGACAAATGATCACCGCCTCCTAAATTGGATATTAGGCAGCAATTCTGGGGCCCTTTTTTAATTTGCTTTCCCGCAAGTATCTTGTGGATATGTTTTTTTCCAACACCACTGAATTGTTCGAGCAAATTTGATGGAATTTAGGAAAGGAAGGCTTGCACAGGTTTGATTTTGGCGCATGTGAAGTCACAAACACTTCTGGACCCTCTCAATACTCCCAAAGTGTCAATTGTTTCTCATTCCATTGTGCACGGATTCGTGCCTCGTTTGAATAGGGAATTTCCGCGCGCATGAAGCCAGTAGTTGGAGTATGCACGACGCGAACTCGATCGCCCTCTCCCAATCTACATCAAAATTTCAAAATCTTCTCACTTAGTATAAAAATAATTCGAATAGCAAACCACAGTGACAAAGACTGTCGAAGTTGACGTGTACAAATTGCAGTGACGTGAGATCAGGAAGGAGACTAAGCAGTGCGGATAGGCAAACTTGCAAAGAGTCCGATAGAAGAGAAGTCTATTCACTTCCAGATTGCCTATGCAAGAGGGTAGTGTTGAGGCAAAGTAGTGTAGAGTGTAGTGAAAGGGAATCCACTGCCGGCACATCGTCACATGTTACTGGTATCCATTGAAGGTCTACTAACCTTTCAGTGTTTGTCTCCTAGCACCAATGTTTTTGTTCTCCTTTGTACTGAACCCCAACTGAAATATTGTCATAGAGGTGTGCATGAATTCAAACAGACGTGGCTACACGATTGCTCTAAGTGTAATGGCATCCGTGTGTGTCATGTCCTCCTCATTTGCTTCCACACCTGTCTGCAGTGTAATTCCGACTTCTTCCCAAGACCATCAGTTTGACTTATATGAGCATACAAACCACTTCACCATTCACAAGCTCACTCGTTCGGAAGGTAGCATTCATTTGCATGCAGACGATTACTTCGGTAAGCACGAATGGTCCTTGAAGTTGCCTTCAAGCATCACTGTGTAAAGGCGTTGCACAGCTGTATTCTTCACTCGTGGGTACGTAGGTACAAGGGCGCTGTCGCACTTGACACGTGCGGGTGTATTTTAGTGACACTTAACGAGCATTGAAAGTCAATTCCCTCACTATCAATTCACAACACTAAAGACATGTGAGACAGTGTTGAATTATACAGATGGAAATGACGTACTTCCAGAAACGCTTCTGGTGAAGACGATAGGAAGCATTTTAGCTTAAACCTGCCAACATCCCGCTACTCTTTGTTGACACCATAAATTTCTGGTGCGGTGTTTGTGTCAGCACCATTGTAACCCTTGGACCACAAGGGAGGTCAAGCAAGAGTGGCAAGGCCATGATGCTATCCAGCAAAGCGAGACCCTAAGCAATTTTTGTACATGTCCCCGCAATTTCTGCATGGTCCTTCTCCTCGTCTTCCTCTCCTTTTCCTCCTCCTTTTGTGGCCACATTGATGTTTCACTTTTCTTACACTCATAAACTCCAAATTCGCCCTCTAAGCATTCCCTTCCTTACATCTCAGCGTTTATTAGTTGAGAGGCATATCAGTGTTTGAATGGATAAGTGCTGAAACTCCTTTTAAGTACTTGCAGTCCTTATGACCCACGAAATACACGTTTAGTTGATCTACATAAGACTTATTAGTGACAGAGACATCGTCTTGCGGAGCATTTCTCACTTCTTTCGAACGCGAATGTCGTGACTGAAATGATGTAGCAGTGGCATACCCCACTGCAATTATCAAAATTCTAGTACTTATGAAACGTCCCATTGTTGCAATCATTTAATCTCATTTAAACGTTCTACCGCGATTTTCTCACCCTTAAAACTTCACTCATGCTATGCGCAGCAAATTTAAAAGGTGTACTACCAACAAGGTAAAGGAGATGTCCAAACCATACAATCCATTGTGGCTCAAAGGTGAGGCGTTTCCTTGCGCACACCTGCAGCTCACGCTAGAAGACACAGACGTCACACCTCCATGAACACTAAAATTACTAAATCCATCGTGCCCGCTACATGGCTTCACTAAAACACCCTTTTCCTTGGAGTTACTATCATTTAACTGCACCTATTGCAACAATTACAAACACAATGCGATGTCTGCTTGACTGCGTCTGTGTGTGTCACCTTCAGTAAAATAAGAAATTAGGGAATTTCATTGACAGCGTTTTATGAGACGAGGATCCTTTGCTTAACTCCATAGGGGGACAATTTTGGTTTTCTGGTACATAGCTGGCGTTGATGCCCAGGTGAAGAGTTAGCGCAGCCAATAAAAAGACGTCTAATGCTGTTGTCGTCCCTTCGCATTGGCTAATGCTCTCACCACCATTTGCAAAGCCATCTTTGTCGACTATGAGTAAGTATAACTGGTGGAGGCGGAGGCAAAAACATGATGTGGTGCGTGTCACTGGCGCATGGCGTATAGTGCATAGGGATTGTTAAGGCTTCGAAGGTAGTATTGGGCATGGCTGTCATGAAGACGTTGAAGGACGACGATGCTGAAGACAGAAAAAGCGAAGAAAGGGCAGAGGAGGAGGAGGAGGAGGAGGAAGGAGAGCTACGTTATTTTCATCTACAAGGTGACACTGGAGGTAGGCATCTCGTCGAAGGTGATGTCGATCATGAACTCAATCGTGAACGACATTTTTATGTGGATTGCAGCCGAGTCGAGTAGGTTGGCACATTATAAAGGAGATCGGCAGTCACGAGCAGAGAGTTATAGGCTGCTGTGAGTCTGCTGCTGCTTCTGCCTGGTGAGTTGGTGTCGGAGGTCACCAAGGCTGTAACCAAGTGCACCAGCTCCATGTAGGTGGTGTGAGTGTGGGCGGTGTAGTCGTGGGTGCGGGCGTAGCTATCGTCAGTGGTGGTGGTGGTGGTCGTGGGGATGAATGGCCTTGCTGCAATGCACCGCGGCATTACATTCACTGCGCTCAGTTTGTGTTAGTGAAGTCATGTTAGGGCCTTGTTGAGGGCCACTATTAACGCATCTATTAAGGCTTGATGTGCCAAAAGACGTATGCATTTCATTGTGGCTGGTTGGTATTTCCACTGCTGGGGTGCAAGTCTGGTGTTGGTGGTAAGGCGTTGAAAAATAGAGGCAAATGTGGGTAAGTTTTGTCGCAGTGTTTTGAGAAGATTGCTGTGCTGGTACTGATTTGATTTGATTGAGTCTTTAGGGGCGGTCAGATTGTATGCTGAGTTGAATGAGAGGTTCAAGATGCGAAGTGAGGTGCCACGCCAGCAAGGCAAAGGGAAGAGAAAGGAGCGTGCATCTGG